GCTTGCCATAGGTTTGTGGTAGATGACTTTGACTATATTGAGGAAAGTTCCTTCAATGCCCATTTTACTGAGAGTTTTCATCATAAACGGGTGTTGGATCTTGCCAAATGCTTTCTCTGCATCTATTGATATGATCATAGGGTTTTTATCTTTTCTTTTATTAATATGATGGAATATGTTGATTGACTTGTGAATTTTAAACCATCCTTATACCCTGGGATGAATCCTACTTGGTCATGGTGCATAATCTTTTGGATGAGTTGTTGGATTCTGTTTTCTAGAATTTCGTTGAGGATTTTTTCATCTGTGTTCATCAGGGATATCTACCCATAATTCTCTTTCTTTGTGGTATCTGTCTGCTTTTGGTATCAGGGTAATATTTGCTTCATAGAAACTGTTTGGAAGTGTTTCTAATTCTTCACTTTCCTGGAAAAGCTTTCAAAGGATTGGGAGTAAGTCCTCTTTAAAAATTTGGAAGAATTTCCTAGTGAATCCATCTGGGCCAGGACTTTTGTGCTTGGGGAGAGTTTTTATTACCGTTTCAATTTCCTTGATTTTGATAAGTCTGTTCAGATATTCCAGGTCTTCTTAGTTTAGCCTTGGGAGGTTATAGATATCCAGGAATTTATCCATTTCCTCGAGGCTTTCTTGTTTTGTGGCATAAAGCTTCTCAAAGTAATCTCTGAGGATCCTTTGAATTTCTGTAGTTTCTGTTGTGATGTCCCCCTTTTCATTTCTTGTTCGGTTTATTAGAGTTTTCTCTCTTTCTTTTGTGAGTCTTGCTAGAGGTTTATCAATTTTGTTTATTTTCTCAAAAAAACAGCTCTTGGTTTCATTCATCATTTGGATTGTTTTTGGGTTTCCATCTCATTAATTTCTGCTCTAAGTTTTATTATTCCCTTCCTCTGACCCAGGTTGGGCTCCTTTAGTTGGTCATTCTTCAAGCTCTTGAGCTGTGAGGTTAGGTTACTTATGTGAGCTTGCTCTTCCTTCCCGAGGAATGCTCGTAGAGCCATAAACTTTCCTCTTAACATAGCTTTTGCGATGTCCCATAAGTTCTAGTATATCATGTCCTACTTTTCATTTGCTTCCAGGAATCTTTTGATTTCCTCTTTGATTTCCTTTCTAAGCCACTCAGTGTTCAATAGTGAGCTGTCTAATTTCCAGGTGATTGATTTTATTTTCTGTTTGTGCGTGTGATTCACTTCCATTTTCAGCACATCATGGTCTAAGAAGATCGTTTATACAATCTTACCTTCTTAATTTTATGGATGTATGTTTTGTGGCCCAGCATGTGGTCTATCTTATAGAATGTCCCATGCACACTTGAGAAGACTGTGCATTCAGCTTTTTGAAGATAAAGTGTCCTGTATATGTCTACTACGACCCTTTCTTCCATTTCTTCCCTCAAATAGAGTATGTCCTTGCTAAGCTTGAGTCTGGCTGATCTATCAAGAGGTGATAAAGTGGTGTTGAAATCTCCCACTACTATTGTGTTGCTATCAATGTCTTTCTTCAAGTCTATGAGTAGTTGTTCCAAGTACTTTGCTGGTTCCTTGTTAGGTGCATATACATTTAGAAGTGTGAGTTCTTCCTGCTGTACAGATGCCTTGATCAATAAGAAATGACCTCACTGTCTCTTGTGACCTTTGTCAGTCGGAAATCAATGTCTGATACCAGAATGGCCACCCTAGTTTTTTTAAGGAAGTTGTTTGCCTATAGGATTGTTTTCCAGCCTTTAACTTTGAGTTTATGTTTGGTCTGACTCTTGAGATGTGTTTCTTGCAGGCAGAAGAATGTTGGGTTCAATTTTCTGATCCATTCTGCCACTCAGTGTTTTTTAATTGGTGCATTTAGTCCATTGATGTTGAGAGATTATTGTTATGGGGTTTTGTCTTAATTTTCTGCTGAAGTTTGGGTATTTGAGAGGCGTGTCTTGTCTTAAAGTAGCTCGTTTAGTTCTTGTAACCGTGGTTTTGAGTCTGAAGTTCCTGAGTTGCTGTTTTTCTGTGAAACTGTGTATTGTTTCTTCTGATATGAATGAGAGTCCAGCTGGATAAAGTGTTTTTGGTGAGGTGTTTATTACTTTGAATTTTTTCACTATATTCCACCACTGCTTTCAGACCCTGAGGGTTTCATCAAATAAGTTGGCTGTCAACCTTGAGGATGCTTCTTTATAGGCAATTTCTTTCTTTGATCTTGCTGCTTTCAGAATTTTGTCTCTGTCTCTGGTTTTCGTCATTTTTATCAGGATGTGTCTTGGGGTATTTTTATTTAGATTTCTTCTAGCTGGTACCCTTTGGGCCTCCTGAATGTGGTTGCATGTGCTCTTCAGCTATAGGAATGTCTTAGCAATGATGTCTTTGACAGTTTCTTCATCAGCATTTTCTTTCTGTCCCTCTCGGACTCCAATAATCCTTATGTTATTCCTCTTGGCTTCGTCCTAATTTTCTCTTGACATCTGTTCACTGATTGTGAGTCTCTTTTCCGTTTTCTTCTCTTTCCTGGAGAGTCTCTGCACTACATCTTGGAGCTCACTGATTCTGTCCTCAGCTGCTGTTACTCTGCTGCTGAGGCCTTCCACTGAGGTTTTCAATTCACCTACCAGGTTTTTCAGATCTGTCATTTCTGTTTGTAATTTTGTTTGTATTTTTCACATTTCTGTTCTCAAATCCTCTTTTATATTATTGGTGGTGCACTCCATTGCTTCTTTTAGCTCTGTATGCATCCTCAGTAGTTCCCTTCTAAATTATTTGTCAGGTTATCTAATGCTTCATTACTAGTTGGGTCTTCTGGGCTAGTTTCTTCACTAACTAAGCTTGGTGGGTTTCTGTGTCACATTACTATTGTGACTGGTGCCGTCTAGACTTTCACGCTCACTATTACTGTTATGTTTTTGGTGTGATATTGAGGTGGGGTTAATGACTTATTGTCCTAATGTGTTTCTGGTGATCGGGCTTCCCTAGCGAAAGTTCCACCAAAGAGGCTAATTTATGGTTTTTACAGGATATGGAGGGCTGGAGCGATAACACAGCGGGTAGGGCATTTGCCTTGCATGTGGCCGACCCAGGTTCGATTCCTCTGTCCCTCTTGGAGAGCTCGGCAAGCTACCAAGAGTATCTTCCCACACGGCAGAGCCTGACAAGCTACCCGTGGCGTATTCTATATGCCAAAAACAGTAATAACAAGTCTCATAATGGAGACATTATTGGTGCCCGCTTGAGCAAATTGATGAACAATGGGAGGACAGTGCTACAGTGCTATGGAGGGGAAGAATATTTTGCAGCTGCTAATGTGGCTCCAGAAACACCTCCACTGGGCTGGTACATGTATGGGGGGTAATAGGCAGGTTCCTGGAAGTTGGCTGCTATTTGCGTGTTCTATCTGGGCTCCCATTCCCCGCAGATCTGGGCTTAAGAGCCAGCTTTGCATGAGCCAGGTTGGTCGTGCGCAGTTTGGGCAGCACTTCCCCCTGATTGGGAAAAGTGGAGGCAAGTTCCTGGAAGTTGGCTGCTATTCATTTATTTAACTTGAGTGTCCATTTTCCCCACCCCTCCAACTTTCTTTCTCATATCACATCCCATGAGACAATCAATGAGGTAAATAAATGAAATCAACAAAATTGAAGAGACCTGATCTTATCAGATGCAAGAGATCAGACATTCTCAGAATTGGTTGGGAACACTCAGTGGGAACAAAGGATTGTTTTATTTATTTCATAGTTCTTTTCATTATTAAGAACTATACATGATAGAAGGGAAGCAAAGTAGACAGGAGACAAAAGAAGAAGAATAGCTACCAGATGACCTTATTTATCTGTGGCATATAAATTAACAGGACAAGGTAATGTAATGTATCAAACAGGAATATACCGAGATTAGCCTTGACTTTAGTTTATAGAAATGAGAATGGGGGACTGGAATGATAGCACACCGGGTAAGGCGCTTGCCTTGCACGTGGCTGACCCGGGTTCAATTCCCAGCATCCCATATGTTCCCCCAAGCACTTCCAGGATTAATTCCTGAGTGCAGAGCCAGGAGTAACCCCTGAGCATCGCTAGGTGTGACCCAAAAAGCAAAAAAAAAAAAGAGAGAGAAAGGAATGAGAAGGGCATGGAAGGAAAGAAATCAAGAGGAGGATGGGAGGTAACAAAGCATGGGTCAGGGGCTATAGAAAGTACATAGTGGTACAGAGGGTATGGTACATGGATTTACCTAAACTGAGAGCCCGGCAAGCTACCGAGAGTATTCGATATGCCAAACACAGTAACAACAAAGTCTCCAATGGAGACGTTACTGGGCCCGCTTGAGCAAATCGACGATCAACGGGAGGCCCTTTACCTTTACCTTACAGAAACAGAAACACTGTAAATAGAAGACCCACACTATATTAATCAAATTTAAACAAGTGCTTGCTAAGGAGGCAAGTTAGGATTGGGAGAGATCCAGGGACACTGGTGAAGGGAAGTTAATACTCAGAGTAAAATTGGTGTTGGAACCATCTAAGTGAGAACAAGTTTGTAAGTCACAAGTCTTGGGGGAAAAAGTGAAAATTAAAAAAGAAATCCTAGAAGCCATCTAAATATCAATAGAGGACTGAGTAAAGAAATCCTGGATGTTCATGCACACACAACACACACACAACACACATCAGACAGAACTGGGCTTGCAGTGGGATGATAAAAAGATGCTATAGGCACAAGCATGGACTAGAAGAAGGATGTATGTGTTAAGTTCAAAATATTTTTCCTCAAGAGTTCTCTGGAAGTCTCCCTAAATCATCCATCCATCTCTAGGTCTACTCATTCATTGGATGTTTCTAAAGCTCATGTGCCATGCATAGTATTAAACACCATGGCAACTAGAGGAAGATTATACCTACTACTTGAATATCTGAAACTTACTGCCTAGTTACCACATGGGAAGAGATCATGGAAGGTTTTATTTGATGAGAATTAATTTGAGGTCTGATAAAGTAATGAGGTGTTTTGGGTTTTTCAGGTAGATGGGATGGCTGTTGGGTTCATGAATGTCTGCTCAAGAGTGAACATGCAGCTCCTGCATGAGTGCTTTGATCTGGGGCCCTTCCATGGACTCTGCACCCCACATCCTGAGGATGTTCTGGAACCACCGAAGAATTTAAGACCTCACAAAAATCAAGGTACATTGGCAGTTATAGAAAAACATCAAGAATGCTTTGTGCATACCTTATACATAGGTTATTAAGTGATGAAACCAGATGTTTTATTTTTTATCTACTTCAATTTTCATGGTTAATCACAAATTTGTGTGTTATCTATGTCAAAATTTTATAGATATGGCATAGTTTGTATATCTGTGAGCTCAAGATAGTCAAAATTGAAAAGGTTTTGCTAGGCATAGTGACCTTGCAGCTTAAAGTTTCTGAAATTTAGAATTCCTACATACATATAGTTATAGTAAATTAATTGCTATCATTTAAGGATTTTACCTTTTCCCCCCATCCTACAAAACCCAAAGTGAATTTTTCAAGTTAAAAATTCAAGATGTTCTATATCCCTTAAGTTTGAATTCCAGCAATTAGCTCTTCTGAGATTAGTCTTTGACAACTTAATGTACAGCGCATGACTATTGAAAAAAAACACTTTTAGCTTGCTTAACTTATTTCTAGGCCTATGAAATAATAAACTTGATTTTACATTATCAGTTAGAATTGTCACCACTGTTATCACTGTCATCCCATTGTTCATTGATTTGCTCGAGCAGGCACCAGTAACGTCTCCATTCATCCTAGCCCTGAGATTTTAGCAAGTGCCACATTTGAGGCTCTTTCAGGGTCAGGGGAATGAGACCTATAATTGTTACTGGGTTTTGGCATATCGAATACGCCATGAGGAGCTTGCCAGGCTCTGCCATGCGGGCAGGATACTCTCATTAGTCTGCCTGGTTCTCCAAGAGCGAGAACTAGACAATAAGAGATTACATGGCCGTGGATTCATAGCTTGGTTTTATAGTCTCTGGATCTTAGCCGTTGATGGGATTACACAGTGCTTGCGCAGGGGGCAGTTGGTGAGTGTAACTGCCTAGATACTGGAAGATGGGGGATCTAGGTGGAGGAGGCCCAGTCCCTTTCTGAGCAGGCTTGGAGATCTCAGCCCAAATTGTCACCAAATGAAATTAAATAATCTCATTTTTTAATTTTTAATTTAATAAGGTTTTCATCACGGGTACTTTAACAACTAAGTGATTGGGTTTTTAAATCAGAAAATTATCATCAGGTAAACGACGTTGGGTACATGAATTCAACCTGAGTTTCCATTTTAGTAAAATAGGGAAAATAGCAATACTCTCACAAAGGGGGGGAGTTATGAAGTCTCACTGAAATCACCCATGTTAAGGGTTTGACTCAGTGTCTGAGAAACATTGTCAACCTAATCAATTTATCTGGACAGGAAACTGGTACATGTAAAAATAAAATTCATCTGAAGGTTTGTGCTCATTACAGAGTAAATGCAGATGTATAGATGGAGTCATTTTTTAAAAAAAATTTATTAGTGAAACACTATGAGATACAGTTGTAGACTTACAAATTTTGTGCTTGGGTTTCAGTTATACAATGATCGAGTACCCATCCCTCCACCAGTGCCCATTCTCCACCACCAGTGTTCTTTTGGATGTGGGCCAGTCTCTGAGGTGTGAGATGATATCTCATTGTTGTTTTGATCTGCATCTCCCTGATGATTAATGATGAAGAGAATTTTCTCATGTGCCTTTTAGCAATTTGGATTTTTTTTTATTAGTGAGACACCATGAGGTACAGTTGTAGACTAACAAATTTTGTGCTTGTGTTTCAATTATACAATGATCAAATACCCATCCATCCACCAGTACCCACTTCCCACCACCACGGGTCCCAGTATCCCTACCACCCCACATCCCCCCCCCATCCCACCCTGCCTCTGTGGCAGGGCATTCCCCTCTGTTCTCTCTCTCCTTTTGGGTGTTGTGGTTTGCAAAAGAGGCATTGAGTGGCAATCATGTTTGGTCTACTTTCAGCATGCTTCTCCCATCCAGGGAGGTTCCTCCCAACACCCTTTATTTTGTGCTCCCTTCTCTATCTGAGCTGCCTTTTCCCCTAGCATGTGTGGCTGGCCTCCAAGCCATGGAGCAAAATTCCTGGGACTAATCTCGGCCATTCTTGGGTATTAATCTCCTATTTTGTTACTTTATGTTCCCCAGATGAATGCAATCTTTCTATGTCTATCCCTCTCTTTCTGGCTCATTTCGCTTAACATGATACTTTCCATGTAGTACCACTTGTATGTAAATTTCATAACTTCATCTTTTTAAACCACTACATAGTACTCCATTGTGTAAATGTACCAAAGTTTCTTTAACCAGTCATCTGTTCTTGGGATCTCAGGATTTTTTTTTTTACCAGATTCTGGCTATTGTAGAGTGCTGCAATGAACAAACAAGTGCAGATGTCACTTCGACTATACTTTTTTGCTTCTCTGGGATATATTTCCAGGAGTAGTATTGCTGGGTCAAATGGGAGCTCAATTTCTAATTTTTTGAGAATTGTCCATACTGTTTTCCAGAAGGGCTGAACCAGTCGGCATTCCCACCAGCGGTGAAGGAGAGTCCCTTTCTCACCACATCCACGACAACACCAGTTGCTTTTGTTCTTTGGGATGTGGGCCAGTCTCTGAGGTGTGAGATGTTATCTCATTGTTGTTTTGATCTGCATCTCCCTGATGATTAATGATGAAGAGCATTTTCTCATGTGCCTTTTAGTCATTCGGATTTCTTCTTTGAGAAAGTTTCTGTTCATTTCGTCGCCCCATTTTTTGATGGGGTAGATGGAGTCATTTTTTATACTGCTGATGTCACTCTTCACAAGAGATAGGTAGAAGGACTTCATTCAATAATGAAGACCTATTTGCTCATGCTTAATGAAGTTACAAGTTTTCTGAAAAAACTTCAGCATGAGATGGTCATCACTATCACTATCACTATCACTGTCTCTGTCACTGTCACTATCACTATCACTAAAACTATCACCCTATTCATCGATTTGCTCGAGCAGGCACCAATAAGTCTCCATTCATCTCTGTCATGTGCTAGTGTAGCCCAGGGGCATACTGGGGGCTCTTTCAGGGTCAGGGGAATGAGGACCATCATTGTTACTGTTTTTGGCATATTGAGTATACCACGGGTAGCTTGCCATACTCTGTGTTGAGAGCGGGATACTCTCGGTAGCTTGCCGGATTCTCCAAGAGAAATGGAGGCTTTTGGGCCAGCCTCTAATCACCTTTACAGGTGTTCCCAGTCAGGCATATATGCGGGCAGGGTACTCTCGGTAGCCTGCTGATTTCTCTGAGAGTGAGAACTAGACAATAAGTGCATTCGCAGCCACACACTTCTGAGAGCTTTGCTTCACAGTCTCTGGATCTTGGCCGCCGATGGGGCCACACGGCAGTTGGTGGGCACAACTGTCCAGCCACTTGGAAGATGGGGGATCTGGGCAGAGGAGGCCCAGTCCCGAACCGAGCAAGCCCAGAGACCCCAGCCACAGGTCCCGCACACCCAGGCTCCTCTGCCAGTTCCCTCATGTGTGAGGCTTGTCCCAGCATGTGGAGAGTGATCTCCGCATGGCTGCGTCTGGGTCCTGGAGGTCTCCAGCTGCTGGCGCTCCACTCAGGGTGGAGAGGGAAACCCAACCCGCCCCCCTCCAAGGGGACCCCGGAGAGGACTTTTCAATATAAAAAGAATAAAAGTCATCATCAGCAATACTGGGGCAGTTTGATAACCATATGCCAAAAAGTGAAGTTAGACAACCCTCCAACCTCTGTGACTCACATTGAAAAAAAAAACGCTTAAAATTGACTAGTTCTGGGGCTGGAGCGATAGCACAGCGGGTAGGGTGTTTGCCTTGCACACAGCTGACCCGAGTTCGATTCCCAGCATCCCATATGGTCCCCCAAGCACCGCCAGGAGTAATTCCTTAGTGCATGAGCCAGGAGTAACCGCTGTGCATCGCCGGGTGTGACCAAAAAAGAAAAAAAAATTGACTAGCTCCTATGAGAGAACTGAAACTGCAAAACTCTTAGAAGAAAACATTTAAGAATAAATATTGATCTAATTAGGCAATGATTTCTTTGATAGGACATTAAAAGTACAAACAATCAAACAAAAACCAGACCATTAAAATTTAAAATGTCTGTGCCTCGTCATAAGAAATTGAAGACAAAATGGTATGTAGCTCTTTTGGGCAATAATCATGAAGTTGCTCAAAATACTAAACATGTAAGTACAATGCAACCCAACAATTCTACTAGAAGGTAAACTCAAAAGGATTAAGAACAAGGGCCCAAGCAGGCGTCTCTAGACCAATACTAACCGAAATTAGTCACAACAGTCAACAGTGGGCCGCCACAGCCATGAAGGGAGGGGTGAACAATGGGTTAGCATGAGTCCTTTTCTGAGGGCCATGTGCCCACTCCCCGCATATGCTCAAAACCACAGCACTGACCTGTCCTATATTATGTTTCCCTATATATATATACACACATATATAGGTATAGATCTATATGGATAGTGCATATGTGTGTGTATGAGTTTAATTTTTAACTAGGTACATTGAGACACTAAGACCAATAGTAAAGCAGAACAAAGGAATGGAGCTGGGGAGGTGGCTTTGTACACACAGGGCATGAGCTACCCTGAGTGCGGTTCTGCATGGCATGACTCCATACCCCTATGGGGCAAGAGAGGACCTGGTCCCACAGAAGCACTGAGAAGCCTCTAGAAAAAAAGTAAGTGAAACTCTGATACAAGCTACAAAATGGGCGAATACTGAAAAACGCCAGATACAAGGACAAAAAAAAAAAACAAACAAACAAGTAGTTCCACTTAGATGCTATACAGGCAGTCAAATTCAAAGACAGAAAGGGGGCACCAGGGCCAAAGGACGAAAGGTTGTTTATTCATTAACTGAGTTTTTATTTGATTAATCAATGCTGTGAATGTAATTAAAGCCTCTAAATATATACCAAAATAATGTACTTCATTATATATAGGGTTTTTAAAAAACAACCCAAAGAATAGGACTAAAAATTTGCAGATTGTATCATATTATCTTACAACTCAAAAATTAAAGGACATATCTAATTTAGACAA